TTTTATAGTGTAAATATGCAAATATATATGTATGTGTGTACATACATATAAATGCATATACATATATGTGCATCTAAAACAAATGTGTATCTCCATGTGGTGAGATGCAGGCGAAGATATATAAATTCTTAAAACTTATGTAGTTTGAATAATTTTGAAGATATGTACAGATTTTACTTTGTTGTTTATATATTGTTTCCTTGAAAGTGTCCTTTGCAAAGGTATATTGAGTGAAGATTATATGCTGTGGGTGATTCGGTATATAATTTTTGAAGTCTGAGCAAAGTGTGCTTCAAAAACAAGAACAGATGAAGCAGTACCATTATATCTTCATGTTCAAGTGGCTCTTCAAGATATTAGCAACTAGTGAACCTGATCCCACAGTCTTTGTGTGGAGTAATGTAGTAGGTGGTACTAGTGCATAGACTCAGGCAAAAATCCATGAATATCTACCATTTAATTATTAATCATCAGTGCAGTTCTGGACCTTGCCTGATCTCCCAGACAAATACCTAGGCATGGTTAGGAGCTTAAGCCCAGACCTTTTCTAGGGGGAGGCCTGAATGCAGCTATTTTGTCTTGATGACCAACACAATTAAACATTTGGAAACAAGTTATACTATAACCAGTTAACAGTCAGACAGGTAACAGGCCCTAACTTATTTTTTTGGCAGTAGTGTAGAAGTAGCTGTAGGGGGTCCTGCTTTCACCTGTATTTTTTTTATTTAATTTGTACTCACTGTTGCTTTTATACAAGAAGGAATATATTCCCTGTTTATTGTACTGTAGATGTATACATGTTAGTGGATTTGCCGCTTCAACACAGAGATGATGAGTGGAAGTAAAAGTATGAGGTCTTGGCATAGAGTTTCTGGTTACTTTTGAGCCCAGTTCTCACCTCGTGCCATCCTGCAATACAATGGCTTGATCTCCTTTGGTCAAAGCCCAAACCCAAAAGGGTTTGTAACTTCACAAATGAGACAAGGGACTTGAGTAATACAACCTCAAGCATGTGTGGTAGCTGTGTCGCCCTCTCAGCATCTTGCACAAAGCATAAAGATAAAAGGGGCAACAAGTCACTCTATGACAAGCATTAATACTTAGGAGAGTATTAATGAATTGTGGGGCAAAAGTTGTAAAATCTTCATAAATAATGTATTAGGAAAGAAATCTTCTGCTCTCAGAGGGAAAAGTCTGATTTGTGCTTCAGTTGAGGATCCGAGGGTATTCTTCCATAGGAGCAAAAAGTTAGGCGATTTTTGCTTGTCCTTCGAGATACTCCTCTGGCATAAAAACATGGCTTCATTTGTAATGCAATGCTGTAGACTGTCCTTTCCATCTGATCCAGGGGAGATTGTTGTAGGGCCCAGTAACAGAGCTTTACCCTTAAAACAGTTTTTTTTTTTTTTTTTTTTACTTGTATCTCCAGAGATGGTCAGTGTGATTCCTGGATAGATGTCCAAAAGCTTTTTCATCTTAAGGTCAGCACCAGTGAGATGCATACTCTTTCAATGATGCTGTGCCCAGTATATTAAAAAAAAAAAAAAAAAAGCTTTAAAGTTGGCATCTGTGATTACTTTCCTGCTCTAACATAATGCCTACTGCCTAGAGCTGCCCATAATTAATAACTTGTACGTACATTTCAGAAAGCACTGGTGTGGACATTTCTTCACATTCAAGTAGCTTTCTCATCTCATTTTTTTTTTGTGGGGGGCTCCCGCCCCCCCCCCCCCCCCCCAACGCTCTGAAATAGCGTCGTAGCTGGAGGCAGTAGTTTAGGTGTTTTCTGTTGCCAGATGCTTAGCCTCTTGCAGTTTAGTTGGCTGGGAAATTATTAAATGTCTAGTGTTGATTGTTTATTGCTTAAAAAAAAGGAGATAGAACTTTATTTGATTGCATGCATAAATAAAAAAGGAGTGCCTAAACTCCTTTGTAATTGATAAGTAGATACACATTTGGCCCTGGAACATACCCTTCAACCTTAGAAATCCTCTGGTTTCTTAAAATCTCCATAGCTGCTTTAGTGCTTTCTTTATAAAGGCCAAGCAAAATCCATTGCAATCAGAGAAAAATAAATCCTATTTGAAAATAACTCCATTAAAAATATCGTTAAAATGGTTTTGCAAACAAAAAAAAAGAGTTTTAAAAGGACTGATTTGAAAGAAAAGCCTTAATACCTATTTGAATCTGCTTTTGAATATGGAACCTAGTAAAAATTGCTTTAAATGTACTAAGATGGTAGAGATTCAGGAGTCTCTCTGACTGTAGCAGACTGTAGTATTGTGGCATTTATTTGTGGCATGACAACACATCCATTTGTTTATGCTGAGAAACAGATATGCAGATGCTCTGTACTGTTAAGTAGCATAACATCAACTGGGTGCCAAGAATATTGTATTTTTTGGGGAAGAAAAACAGAAGTAATGTAGTGAGACATGAATCTGATCTCAAAATAAGCAACTACCACCTCATTCACAGCCTTTTTTCTTTTTTTTTTTTGAAGATGAGACCCTTAGCATCTTGATCTAACTGTGAAGCTAGACGTATTAACTGTATGCTGTTATGACAGTTTATAACCTGTCAGTTTTTCTTGCACAGAGTTGCTTGTGCAGCCATTGCCAAAAATAATGTAAGAAATCTGACTGCAGGAGTAATCTTAGGGATATTTTAAAGGAGTAAGATTTTTATTTTTATTTTTTTATATTTATTATTATTTTTATATTTATTTTTTATTTATTTTTTATTTATATTTATTTTTTTGAACATCTGCCCATATGAAGTTCCATTTGGATATCTCAAACAGAGATCCCAAATGCAACAACACAATAAATTTGTTTCCAGATCTGGACACCTTATGAGGTATTTTTGCTTTAGTCTAATGCAAATAATGCAAAGAAATAATGTATAGTGATACAGATTGTACTACAGAGAGTGTTAAACAGGAATTCCTCTTCTTACACTTGAATAGCACAGAACATTTTCAAAGTGCTTTATAAATCTGCTGTGTTGCTAGCAGACAGCTGAGTAGTATCATGAAATATTAGTCTGATACTGCATAATGAATAAACCTGTAGTGAGATTAGGTTGATTTTTAACTGATCTCTTCAGAATGAGCTCGATGTACATCATGACTACAAACTGTCTTATTTTCATCTTTTTGTTTCTTTATGTTCAGTGGAATTATTATTTTCTCTGGTGACGAAGAATTTATTTCATTACTTTGGATGTCTGCTTGGCAGGTGTCTTATCAAATTTCTTAAATGTATAGTCACTTCCATCTCACTCTGACTAAAGAAAAAGATTCTTTTGGAGTGCAGATACTTGCACACATTTCAAGTTCTGCAAATTTCTATCATCAATATCTCATTTTTTCCCAATCAAATGAGATGTGACATTTAGCTGTTATAAATAATTTAATCATCTAATAATTTAACCTGTTTATCTAGCTTCCCAAGTGGCCATCTCTTTGTAGAATTTTAATAGGCTTTATATGAGATTGTTGTATTCATTTTAACTGTGATCTAGGCCGTACCTCAAAGTAGGCTAAAACCTGAATTCACCAAGCCAGAATACCCACAGCTATTAATTTGTAAAAGAGCATCCTTCAGAAGTTTTTGTGGTTGACTCACTTTTTAAATTGGGCGATACACCTGATGATTCATTATGAATTTCTTTCAAAGTTGGGATTTTCATTTTTTTTGATATGTACGGCAGTCCCTGGTGGTATTGTTATACAAGAGTAATATTTTGCTGGGCTCAAGTCCCTAATTTATATGTCTGCACATTGGAAATATATATTTAATGTTTCCATGTAAGCGTACAGTGACTGCAAAAACTGACAGATTGGTAAGAGTGGAAACTCAGGTCTGGGTGGGTGCATCAGTCATAGAACCAGACCATGACAACTCATTGTCACAGACTGCAGATCACTTTCATTGTTGTGGGTGCTAATGCCCTTGCAAACATGCAAAAATCCTGCACTTCTCTTTCTCTGTATTTGTGTTTCTAGCACTGAAGCATTACTGTTCAGTTCACTCGCATAAATCTGAGAAATTTAGAATGACCAAGATTTTCTCTGAAATATTCTCAAAAGCTTCTGCAGTAGAAGTTTTATTTCTGGGGTGCCTGTAGATCATTCCCATAATCCCTGAGAATCTGACTGAAAGTGCTATATTGTTCTTTTTCTTTTCTTTATGTTTCAAAATTTGTAGCCTTGCTTGAAAATATTTATTTGTATTTTACATGAGCTTTTCCTTTTCAGTGCGAAAGCATGAAAACATACAAGCTGCTAAGTTAGGCACTTTAGTTAAGTTCTCAGAGCTAAGTGGGGCAAATTTGGGTCTTAATATCCAGTTGTGCATGATGGTCTATGCAAGAGCATGGTATTGCAATATTCCAGAGAAATGCCATGGCACTATACATTCCACATAGATGAGCTTTCTCTATGGATTTGCCACAAGTCAAAGACAACAGGAAAAGGCTGAAGATGGCTTATAAAGTGATAACTGACAAGAAATGAAAAACCTGTCACAGTAGAGTTAGTGTTATCTAGCATTGCATCTGTGATGTCTGTTAAGAGATCTGTTTCTGTTTCCTTTTGTACTGCTGGGCCAGTCTGTGAACTTATAGCAAGTTCATAGCCTATGGGATAAATCCTGTTCAACACTGCAGTGTCTTCAGCTAGGAGTCTTGCATCTAAAAGTCATGGTTTAGACATATCTTGTGCTGTGTAACTATAGCATAATATGTAAGATGAAGCTGAACCTGGTTTTTAAGCTTTTCAGATTAACCTTTTTATTTCTTGTGGTTTATGTTCATAATGAATACTTTAAAAAAGTATCTTTAAAGTTGCATTGCCTGACCTAATATGAATTGCTTTAGCTGACATACTGGGAAATGTAATCTGAAAATATAATTCATAAATAACCCATCTGTCTTGACTCAAACTTCATGACCTTATTCATCTCTTTATTTATTGCATTATTTCTGCATCTCCTCAGGTACCCCCCATTGGAAGTTAAAAGAAGAATACAACAAGAGAGCACAATGTCTTCAGTTTCAGCTTATTACAATGGAAAGACTGTACTGATCACAGGAGCTACAGGTTTCATGGGCAAAGTACTGGTGGAAAAACTACTGCGTTCCAGCCCTGAAGTGAAAGCTGTTTATATACTTGTAAGACCGAAGGCTGGACAGTCAATGCAAGAGAGAGTGGCAAACATGTTGAAATGCAAGGTACGTTTCTATATTTTATTTTAGAATCTAAATGGAAATCTGTTTATTTGGGTGCAGCAGAGGACTTTTGGTATATTCCATGAAGAACAAAATCTTTTCTTGTGCTTTAACCTCTGTATATTTTTGTTATGTCTACACAACAATATCATGTCTACACGACAAAAAAGAATTTTGTGTGGATGAACTCCAAATTTACTCATTTTGATAGCAATGCAGGATTTAAAACTGCAGTGACAAAATTCTTTTTCTTCCTTTCCACATTGCTGAGGATTCATTTTTTCAAGAACCTAGTGCCATAAATGTGTCAAGACTTTTATGAAATTGATGATATTAAGTATTGTGTATTCAAATGGTTAATTTTTGCCAAATGCCTTTGTTTCAAGAAGGATAGCATTTTGCTTTCAAGAGCTATGTTTTCTCCTTCCCCACTTCACAAATCAGTGTTCAAACTGTAGCATTCAGAAATAAAGTTGAGTGTGAGCACATCACACCCTTCTTGCCTTTGCAAGGGTGTGAAATAAACACACTGCCAGCATAAATCCTGGTACTTCTTTCATAAGATAAGGCTTGTTAGCCAAACATACCGCAGCAAAGCAATCCCACTATAGGCTGCTATCTGCTGTCTTTTGTTGTCAGCTGCAGGTTAACTTCAGTTATGAAATGCTAAAATAGTCCTGAGTTGGAGGAGGGTGTTTTCCAAACCTACCTGCAGCAGAGTACATAGATTAAAGACCCATATGTCTTTCTTAAGCACTTGTTTCTTCTGGGTTTTTGGCCTACTACGTCAGTGAAGTAAAGACTTCAAGACTTCTAACACTGTTGTTTGCATAAATATTACTGGATTATTCATTCAGTTGCTCAATACATCTTAGTATTGTTGTTAGCTCTAGGTGATGTTCCCTAGTAGCTGTTTTGTTGTTGCAGCGCTACTAGATGGACCCTTCCTTTTCCCAGTATGTATCAGCAGTTTTAGGCTTGACCACAGCAACAGGACTTAATAACCTCTCCTTGAACCTTGTGACAGCCTGCCCCAATGGGTTTCAAGTGGGTTTAACTATGGATATAACTATGGAGCATCACATTTGTGAACTGTCCGGTTCACAGTGTTTACATGGAAATGCAGTGGAAGAGGACTACTACTAAATAAAGGTTTTTTAAAAAATGTAAATAATAAAAGGTTAATACATTGTGAGGGGACAGTTTGTTAACGTGGAATATTTCAAATTTGGAGTTTATCATAAAGAATGAAATCTAAAAATAATTTGAATATAAATCAAAATTCTTCTGGAGTAGTTGTGCAGATGGCATTGAAATGTAATATGAGTGATTTTTTGCAGATCTTATAAAATTAGTCTGACATAAAAATACATTATTGCATTAATATGAAATGTTTAATATGCAGTTACACAATTTTCTCTGTATCAACTGCAAATTGAAAGAGTGCATGGAAGAATGTGTAGAACATGGTGACCTTGCCTATTTGTGAAAGGAGATGTTCTATTTTTCCAGCAGTGGCTCCCCAAGGGAATCAAGCCATCACCCTATGCTTAATGAAATGTTATATCTGGATAGGGCAGAGCACAGCTGTCACACACATGCGTGCACACACACACACACACACACACACACACACACACACAAAAATCAATATTGGCTTCACCCTGAATGCATTGGTAGTTAAGGATCACAAGGCGAAGCTTGGTAACACTGTATTATGCAGGAGGTTCTGGGATGTGTATATTCATCACAGATAGGAAAACATATCAGCAAGTTTTCTTTTTTTTTATGTTATCTTTGATCTCTCAACGCGCAGAAATAGGCAGGAATACTTGTGGGATTGGGATTCGCTCGAGGGCATTTGCCAGGAGAACACTGAGTCAGGGGTTTTTTGGATGCTGCCAGGCTATTTTTCAGGTCTGCTTGTTTTGTGTTCATAGTCAGAAGATCAGAATGAGGAGTGGATGAGAGTCTGGTCATTGTCCCTGGTAGTTCAGAGAGAAAACAGACTAAAGCTGCCAAAAATCAGGAGGTGATTTTTCTGGGTGTATCCAGAAGTATTGTCAAATTTACTGCTTTTTAATTTAGTCGAGCTACAGTTTACTCTCATGCTGCCAACAATTAGAGTGTATAGTGCAGACAGTTTCTCTCTTTGGCCTTTTTCCTGCCAAGGAGCATTGTGATGAAAATGCAAATGGAAAACTGAACTGAACTCTCAATCATGTAGCAGCATAATTAGGAGTCCTTGCCTCTTTCCCTTTGCAAGTGCATCGTGTTTATACAGTAGGACTTCTATCTGTTAACCCTATATATTTAGGCAAACAATATCAGATTTCTCTCTTACCGTCTCCCTCCACCATCCGTTTTTCCTCCCTGCCTCACTTGTGCATGTTGCAGCTGTTGTGGCAATGGGTCCCATACACTCAGTAAGATGCATAAGGGGAGTGCTAGCTGGAGTGCAACAGAGCTAAAAGTGTTTTCTTTTTATTATATATTTGGCTTTGCCTTACTTTGGTCAGGATATAACTACAGTGGTTTTTTTGCACCAAAGGAACAAATCTGTCATTTTAACCAAACCATGTTCTCCTGGCCCTATTTGTCAAAGTTGTGATAAAGAAGAGCTAAATCTTAAGAGCTATACCCAGGCAGGCAGTGGCCTGGAACCATCATGTCCCTCTTTCCTGAGATAACACCATCTGCTGCCTTACCTTTTTTTTTCTCTCTTCTACAGTTTGTGTTTCTCTTCAAATTGTGAAGACTGTGGTATTGTTTTGTCTTGTATGCTATCAGCTAATAGCATGCTTCCTACAGCATAAGGAAAGACCAGCAAGCTAGGTGGTGCTTCCAGCAAAATACAGAACAAACTCCCCTACCATCTTCACCACTGGGCTCAAGGTTTATTTGTTTGTCCCTTGGATCACCTTGGGTATTGCAGACACATGGCTGCTCCTTGTCTCTACTCACTACCTGCAATGTGACAGCATTACCTTTTTGGGATGCTGAGCCAAACCACACACCAAACTACAGCCTTGTCATGTCACAGCTCCTCCTCTTGATCCAGATCCATCGCATGTTCTGACTCAGATGAAGAAACCTCCCACTTTGGATTTGAAGTAAGCTGAGAGATCGAGCAGCAGTTTGCTATTCCTTTATTTGTCGTGCATGCAGAGTTAATTGGCAATCTGAGAAGCATAAAGGTCCACTGTATGATTTATTAGCATAAGCAGATCTGAGCTTCCTACACCTTCTTTTTCTGCTATTAGCTATTAGGATGCTGCTACTAGGACAGATGTCAGTGAAAAGGTTGAAAGTACAAGAAGTGCAGTAGGAGGCAATGGCAAGATTTTTTCCTGATTTGTTGTTATTTATATGAATGTGTTGAAGGAGAAATCATGAGAAGAGAAAAGTCAAAAGAAATGTGGTGTTTGGACTTTTGTCCTCCATTGCATCAGTCAGATTAATTCAGACCGCAATCAGCGGAGAATGGAAGTATCTTTGAATGACTGAGACAATTACTTTATAAGCCATGTCCTAGAGAAAATCAGCTCCTCTTATGGTTTCATAATCACAGTATTGTTTTCAACTTTTCATAGTGTGTATGACTGCTGCACAATAATCTACAACTATTACATATTATAATAAAAATTGTAAGTTGTTCAGATGCATTCAAAGTTACAGATTTAGATACAACTCTAAATCATCTTTATTGTGCATGTTTTGTTTCAAATACACTCGTGTCATTCCTCATGACAGTAAATAATAACCACCGTTTTCTGTTTATATTGTATTTATTTGCAAAGAATTTCCAATGTGTCTAATGAATCTGACTCATTTGGAGGCCCTTTTTGCAGACTGATTCCCTTTGGAATATTTGAAATTAGAAGTCTTTAAAAGAAGCACCCCAGAGAACAGTCACTTTGAAAACACTGATCAATATTTCTATTTGAAAATGTAAAAAGTGGGGAGTTAGGTTTGGTGAATGTCATAGGTGTTTGCCCTAAAATCATTCAAGTCTGAATAAAAAGCATGGTGAGCTCATGAACAGCATAAGGAGAAGTAGCTGAATTACAATATTTCACCTCCCAAGATGATCAGATAGTTTTCCCGGATGATGTCTTCCTAAATTTAATAAATATACTACTTTTCACTGAGCATTTAAGAGCATGGGAGTGGAGTTTGTAGGAACTATACAAGATATTCTGGAGCATGTGGCTTTTGTCTTTCACTTGGATATTACTTTTTAAATTTTTATGGTAATTTATTGAAAAGGCAAAGTGATCTATTAAACTAAAGAGAGGTAGTTCTTTGCCCCTTCATTTAATTGTGTTCTAGGACAGAAGATGTTAAGTCACTACCCACCCTGTCCTCTCATCTCTGCAGTTCTCAGAAATTATGCAGGACTAATATTTTATTTTGCAGAACAGTATCTTTCTGAAGCTCTAAGTCTTTTATTTTAGTCAAAGGGTCAAATTCTCTCTTTGTCTGTGTATCTGTTATAACCTTATGCAGACATCAGTGTGGTCTCAGTAATTCATTGTTCCTCTCAGTCACTTCACTTGTTATCAAGGGTCTGAAAGAGATACAGTTCTCCTATTTCTTTCCTGCCTTCCAGTTAAGACCATTCTTTGACACTGTCACAGTGCAGTTGCTATTCCCAGTAAAAATCATCACCTGTTTTATTAGTAGTGAATATTATAAAGGACATCTCAGATTTTAGTATTTTAAAAATAATACTTCTATTCACTGCAGTTTCAGCTAATTCTTTTTTTTTTTTTTTTTAATGAACCTAAAAAAAAAAGCAAGTCTCTTTCCTCCTTTGGTTTTTTTTTTGTGTGTGTGATTTTCCTTTGTAAGGTAAGTCAATTGGGCTGTGCTGTTGGCAGTGTAGTGTTCTGTTTATAATTTTAGAGGGTTAGAAGGTTTAGAAGGTTCTGGAGTACTTCCTTTGGAGGTATAAAAGCCCTTCTGTTAAATCTGACTTCCAAAACACTTTATAGATTCTT